CTCTCATTGTAATTATGATTTTCAACCACAAGGGTGGTGCCTGATTGGTTTGAGCTTGGCTCCAAAGGTCAAAAGTACCGGGAGGTCCCAAGTTCAAATCCATAGAGGAATAAAAATCCCCTTGTGGCCACGGAGGTTCAAAGGTGACTCCGGGCTATCTTCAAAGCAGGTGGTCTGGGATTAGTCGGCTCGTATAGCGGGTTGGATATTCAGGTTAATCAAAAAAAATTATAATTTTCACAAAAATTCTTGAACAGGGATACTCTGGCCGTTACCTGAACTGCAATCTTCACCTTCCAAGACGGGAGATTCCACATTGGTTTGATCATCAAAGACTTGGCTCTTCCATTTCTTGCATTGTTGAAACTGATTCTGTTGAATTGACTCTGTGGGTTGATTATATACAAGAGGGCAAAGAAGTGAAATGGAATGGACCCGTTATGGAGTATATAAGTGTGGTTCTGAACAACCAGACAAATGGTATAAAGTGGTTCCACTATGGATACCCATGTAGAGCTTTTGAGCCTGAAGCAAAGACATGGGTAAATTATGGACCTCAACCTTACCCGTTGAAATCTGGAGACCAGATTGAAGTTTCCTTCGAAACCCGTGGAAATTTGAAGGTGGAGAAGTGTGGTATTCATCTTGCGTATAAATCAATCATCAAGGCAACTGAACGATCTTCACCGGTCACAACAGAAATAGATGGGGATATCAGTGCTCTTGAAATAAGCTGCAACGAGAACAAAGTTTCTAAAAGGTGGAAACCAGTTTGATAATTCCAGACTGATCTTAGTTGTATGTGGTATGCCAGCAGTCCTCTTGCAACAAGTTGTGCAGCGTTACAGATTTACAGGTATGTCCTCTCATTTTCTCTAAAATATTGCGTTAAACGTTTGCATCATGTATTTGTTTATTGGTTTATTTGAAAGTTCAATCAAGTTCTGTTCCGTTTCAAGTTCAGCAGTAGACTTGCAGTTACAGAAATTGAACTTTTTTTTTGAAGTATATAATATTTATATACGACAAATGCAACAAATAAACTCACACACCCTCCTCACTTATGGTGAGGTTTGAAACCCTGACCTCCTAGAAGGCCAAGGGCTACGATACCGCTAGGCCAAAGGCCCTTTGGTTACAGAAATTGAACTTTCTGGCAGTGTCAAGTAGATTATTTGGTGGCTAATCACTCCTTTGAATAAGTAATCCCCTCTTTCCAATAGTAAAAGAGGGGCAAAAGGATTGAAGGGTTTAGCCGCCTGAATCACTCCGGATAGAAAGATTAAGGGGGTCAGACATGGCATGACATCTTGGTTGAATGGCTGTTATGTTCCCAGAGTGGTTAGTAGCACACGTTCCTTATGGTCTTAGAAGCTTTTGGCGTATGATAGGGGCAACACAATACTCTTTCGGTTGAAAATCCGTTAAACTTTGAAAGGTAGCGGGCAATGGATTTCAACGGTAAGAACAATAAACTAACTTAGTTGCGGTTGAAGGTTAGTTGAAGGCTAACCGCCATTCTAAGGGTTTCCTTAGGATAAGGTTGACATGCCATACAAAAGGCCCTCACCTCTTGTGATAAGTGGGAATGAAATTGAGCACACTCGATTTGAGGGGGGTTGAGGTTATGGATGACATGTTTGACATGATTCCAAATGAGGTCTAGCCGGTGGTGTTGACAGTTGCATACATAGCAAATAAGTCAAGGGAGGAAAGATTTCCATGATCAGGGTAGTTAAATGCACGTAGGAGTACGGTTGGGGGAGGGGATGGGAGGCTGGAGGATGGGTTGGGTGGAGTGTCTTCAAGGTTGGTGGTTGCTTGTGTTAGAGATGGAGTCTCTTGTCGTGCCTGGTGTGCTTTTTCTCATGTTCGACTCTTATACTTCTTTTATAACTCTTGTTGCTCATTATTGTACATGTTATATTTCGTGATTACTTGTTGCACACACCTTTGCGCCATACACAAGCCCCCCGGGAAACAGCCTCTTTGTCCTAGTTAGTACACAAGCATTTGCAAGAATGCAAAAAATAAGATTGCTTCAAGTCAAATAAACCTCAAAAAGTTTTCCAAGTTCCAACTAGCTTTTAGATCTTCATATTCCAAGAACTTGATGTTATCTGTGAGGTTGGTGTTTGCTATCCTTTTATCTTTTCATGCAATTCTTTGTGGAATCAGGTGAAAGTCTGTCAGTTATGTCTTGTGCATTCCCTCTCAGGTCATCATATTATGTTATTTAATATATCTCTACCATCTTTGTATGAAGAATAAAGGAATTAAAGATGTTAAACCCATTTATTTATTGTGTTTTTTGAATCTTGCAGGTAGACGGTCTCTGATTCATGATACACGGCATGATATCAAAGGATTCATGAACAACCGTTTTGCCATATGATCCACAGGTAAACTAAAACTGAACCTTCAAACCTCACTCTCGATAAAAGAACCTGAAAATCTGTGTTCGCCTTCATCCCCTTGAAAGAGACGGAATAAAAAAAGTTCTTCGTTTTCCTTTTCGGAGATTGGCCAAAATAGTCATTTCTCTTATATAAATTGGTCACCTAGTCATTCATCTCCATGATTTACCCGAATACCACTACGTGTGCAAGTCCCATGTCGGACCTAGCTAGAAGACAACCTTTTTATCGGATTTGACCCAGGTCCACAATTGCGGCAGCTAGGTCTACAATTTAAATTTTCTTTTTCGAGTTTTTAGCTAAGGGTCCGTTTATTAAACACTTACCAATGCATAAAAATTTTCTAATCGGATGAACATGAAAAGGGTCGAGAAGCTTACCGGATAAGAGCGATGAGAATGGGGTGTCTTACCCGGTAAGTGAGGATGACGACTCTTACCCAGGTAAGCGCTTTTCCAGTAAATTGTTGCATTCGATACGTTTTCGCATCAAAATAAATTATAGCGTTAACTCCTATTGGTAAGCGCTTATCGGGTAAGCATTTGGATAAACGGCCCCTAAATCTGTAAGTGGATGATGTGAGACTTGCGAAAGCAGTGATATTTAAATAAATAAGGGAGAGGAACGACTACCAATTTATGTAAAAATAATGGCTATTTTGACCTATTTTACTTTTCTTTTCTTCTCTTCCCAAATTCGAGACAAACGAAGAGAGGAATAACTCGGATTACTTTTTTCATTCAAAATTTCTCTAAATTCGTTACTGTAGAAAATGTTGAAATATACCTTCTTTTATTTTCATATTTGTAATGCCTTGAATCGAAAAGGGACCAAATTAACCAAAAAGGGATGATATGTTAAATTTTAAAACCAAAAAATAACAGGGGTCTGAATGGATTTACCACAAAACAAATGGACCTGTTTTATAATTATAGAAATTTCATTATAAACTGATAATGGTGCAGTGCTTGAGCTCAATTAGACCTTATTTACGTCATTGCCATTCAATGAAATTTCCAAAAACTCCCCAGTTTTACCAACACAACACCCCATAAAAACAAACACAACACAACATTTTAAAAGCATGTAGTAACTATCAAAGTAACTTCCTGTGTTTTACCGACGTAAATAAAGAGGCATAGTATACATTTACCTAAAAGTTTCTACGACTTTGCCGTGATAACTTCCGAGACCATCGTATCCATACCACACATGCCCTGCCCTCTGCAAAGCCGATAATATCCATTCTCCCCCCACCGTTTTCCCCACGAGTTCTTGATGATCCAATAAGGCTTGTTACCCAACCTTAGTATCGAAAACCCTTTCGAACCATATCCCACAAGCAACACACCGTGGTTTACCCGTCTCTTTGAACAAATCAACGGGCACGACACTCCCCCGATGTAAGTTTGCATGAACACCGCGTTCAATCCAACTGCAACACAATAAATTCTTTAGGGCATGTCCAGCAGTTTCACCATAATTTCTCATAAGTAAGAAACAAAAATCAAAATCCCGTACGAAATGCATATTCAACTCCAACATAATCTTCATTTTGGAGAACGTAAACGATTTTCGAGACTCCAACCATAGTGCTAAATTTTATCACTAAATTTATAGCTATATTAGTACATTTTAGCTCTTTTTTTTATTAACCTGAATATCCAACCAGCTATGCATGCTGTGAGCTGACTAATCTCAGGGCGACCACCTGCTTTGCAGATAGCCCGGAGTCACCGTATTTGAACCTCCGTGGCCACAAAGGGATTTTTATTGCTCCTTGGATTTGAACCTGGGACATCCGGATACATTTGGCAGGTAAAAAGGCTAATAACATTCCTTTTGGAAGGGTTTGTTATGCTATTGCTGGTTGGTTCATAAATAATGCCGTATGTGTTAACCTTACCGGCGAGTGGGCCGTGTTTCACCAAATGGGCAGCCATTTGATCCTCATCACCAGTGATACTCGTGAAGTTCGAGACTTTTACGGCTATCTTTTCAGCATCAAACTTGCATTTACCAGACTTCCCGGTATACGGATACGACTCTTCTGATTCGATGCCTCCTGCCTTGATTAGATAATTGTAGGCATTTGTCATAAGTCCGCCGGAGCATCCACTGTCACAGGCATCCTCTTCCRATGGATCGCACTACACCAAAACATAAATCAAACCAGATTTGGGTCCTCAAATTTGTRGTGAAAAGATAAATTTGTAATCGAAATTGAAATCTAACCATGTGATCACAATCRACGAGCTGTTGCTCGCTCAAGGTAAGAAGCTTCCCAGTTGCGATGAAATTTGCACCTTCGATAACCCCCGTCGTACTGAATRCCCAACATGCCCCACACGAACCCTGCAACCATATCAATCAAACTCGAGTATTTGCAGGCTTGTTCCTGACATTTTATAGGCTATGGGCGAACGTAAAAATAGGGCCCACTGCTAGAAACAAGGCTTTTAGCGACGACAAAAATCTATTTATCATCAGAAATAGTATATAACAACAACATGATGTCGTCGCTATAACTTGTGGCGGAAATTTGTCATCAATAAAAGGCGTATCGTCAAATCTCACTTTTCTTGTAATGACTCTTAGTATGGAAAAAAAAATCTATACATGTTATTTATTAGTATAAAATTGAGTACAAGAAATGCTAATAATTTATTGAGGAAAAAAATCTTATTTATCTTTATCATAGATATGTAAGAGAGTATTTAAATTTACGTAGTTCTTATTAGGTAATTTGAAACCAAGAGTATATAAACCATGGTTGATAAATTTTTATAAAAATAAGAATTTTCTAGTTAATAACAAGAAATATGTGTTATTTTGATAGAAAAAGAGAATTCGTGTGAATGAAGTAATCATGAGAGTCAATGAGAGATCAATAATAAAGAAGATTATCAATGTTTTCTAGACAAGTAGACAAATGAGAATCAATAAGAATATGAAATAAAATATGATTCATTAAGATCCAATAAGAATACACATATAATATGCAAGCTCAACAAATGATTGTTTGTGCACTTAAATAGAATCTTGTGGTGTGGTGAAATTCCAATGAAAGATACATAAGTCAAACAATTGATGAAAATATTTAAATTCTATTTTCTTTCTTTTTTGTTCAACTAAAATAAGATGTTAAAATTAAAAGTTTATTTAACATGACATATATAGAAAAAATTTATTGATTAATCATAAAACCTTGAAATACGTCATAAATTATAAGACAATAGATTAATTGTCAAAAAATAGTAAAATATTTTATGTAAAAGCAAAAATAGATAACAATACTCAACAAAAATAATTAGAACAAGATAATCAAATAACAATAGTCAATAGAAGCAGAAATTGATAAAAATATCCAACAAAAATATATAACAATAACAAGCACATGATCTTAACATTAAATTGTTCAAACACAAAAACAATCAAACATATAAAAATAATAATAACCAATATTATCGGACCTTGTTAGAGATAAAAAAATATTAGAAAAATAATAAATAATAACATATAATGAATAACCAATTAATTTTTTTTTTTTTCAAATATAATTAGTGAGGAAAACGGTGGGGGGAGTACGGATATTAGGTTTGGCTACTATCAAGTAACTTCATGTGTTTTACTGACGTAATTAGATGTTTTGTAAACCTAAGCATTTGTATACCTAATTTTTTAGCTTTTATTATATATTAAATTCTTTTTGACGTTTATTATATGTTATAATTTTTTAGGTTTTTTTAATTTATTAAATTCTTTTAGACTACGAAAAAAAATTGAACCCCTGATAAGCATCGGATTTTATAGAATGTTTGAAATTAAGATTTGGGCTATTTTAATGTGTTTGGATTTAGAATTAAATTGAATTGAATTTAATATCTGTCTCATCTTAACTTTCTTCTCATCAAAAATCAAAACCCAACACATTAATGGAAACGCACCTGCATCTTAACCTCGGTAACGGCACCTTTCTCTCTCCAATCGAAATCATCAGGCAAATCCTTGACCTCCATAGGCGGTGCAGCTGTTCCTACGTCGTTGCTTTTCCGATCAATTCCACCGCCTTTCACGCCCATAAACATAGTTTCGAACTCCTCCTCTGATAGATCTGAGAACGGCGTAACGCCATGAACCGCCGTTGGATCCAGCAATTGGTGTTCGGCAGCTCTAAGGAGATTCTTCGAAAATACACCGAGGCGGTGCAGGTACTCCTCTCGAGTAGAGTACTGCTTCCCGTGTTCTTGTATGAACGCCGTGAACCGGTGTTCCGTCGGAGTTCCAATGAGGTGGTTGTTCGGATGGTCAGTGACTTGGACTATGATAGGATCGTGAGGTGTTGCATGAACGGCGTGAATTGCGCATGTTAGCACGGTCAAAACAGCGGCGTATGCTAGAACACCTCCTCCTCCCATTGTTGTTTCCGGCGAAGCTCTCCTTCCCATCAGCTAGCGGAAGAGGACCAATAAGCAGGGTTGAATGAAGGTTAATTTACTGATTTACCCTTTAAGGCGGTTTAAGATGAAAAGGGTATAGGAAGAAGCCAGGAGGGGGCAGTGAAGTACATTTGCATGAAAGTGGCCTTATTGCAACACCTGGAGCATGTATGATATGATATTGCCTTGTTTACTGACACGTAACTGTTTAAAAACATTACAAAAAAAGAATATAAAACATAAGGAAATAGGTAAGGCCATATAGTCATTTTTTTATCTGGTTTACTTAAGGGTTGTTTACTAAATACTTATCTGATAAATGTTTATTGGTAAAATTAATACTATCATTTACTTATCGAGTAAGATTTTAGTCTACTAAAACGGCATCGCATGCATTAATTTACCCGATAAGTACTTACCGTGGTAATAGTCGTTGCCCTCACTTACCGGGATAAAACTCTTGATCCTTGTTTCACTTTTAGCAGATAAGATTCTTGTTATTTAACGTATTTATCCGACAAGGTAATATGATTTGGTAACCGTCTTATCTGAGTAAGCGGTTGGTAAACAATCCCTTACATTTTTTGAACGATTAAGTTACTAAATATTTTTTGAAAAAAAAATACATACATCTTTAAAATAAAAAAAATAAATCAAAAATTACTTAGGTTTACCAAAAAAAATACTAATGTTTAAAAAAAATTATAAATGAAATTTATTTTATTTAAAAATAAAATATATTCTATAGGCGATTTTCTAAATTAAAAAAAATAGAAAATAATTTGATTAAATTACTGATGGGTTAATGATAAAATTATTTAAATATAAATTATTTAAAATTCGTTGCTAATGTCTAAATTAAAAAAATAGAAAATAATTTGATTAAATATATACATGAAGGGGTTGGTTTAAATGTTAACCAAGTTTATTGTGTTAACTTTGTTACTCAATCTTAGTTATTGATTATTACAATAAATAGTTGAGATATACCATATTAAAATTTTAATTTTTTAAATTTACAATTCCACAAACATATGTGAACTAAGTTGGAAAAAGGGTATTTATATATATATATATATATATATATATATATATAAACTTGGACTGCATAGCATTTATGAACACAATATGAATATAATAAGAATAGTTGCTACATGAAAAGAAATAAATAAATAAAACATGTATGAACAACTTGTGAATAATAGTTCATTTATTATGAACACATTCAAGAGCGAATAAATGTTGAGATATGCAACTAGTGTACATATGAACACAATATGAACACTTATGAATTATAGTTATTTCATTATGAATACATTCAGAAGCGAGCCAATGTTGAGATATGCAGCTAGTGTACATATGAACAGCTTGTGAACAATAGTTCATTCATTATGAACACATTCAGGAGCGAGTCAATGCTGAGATATGCAACCAATGTACATATGAACACAATATGAACACTTGTGAACAATAATTCATTCATTATGAACAAATGAGTATGTCCATAATAGCTTGAAAGATACCGAAAACTTTACTACCGAGTCTCCTCTATCAATCACAAGTTCAAAAACATTATAGATAGAAAAATCAATATTATAAAAAAAACAAGATCAATAATAAATAACAAAAATCATAGGATTGTTTGATTTTGTAACTCCCAATTAATAATATGAAAGTTATATAAAAAAGAAAAATACATATTTACCATTGTCATTAAATTATAAGATGAATATGAACCTATATGTAAGATGAATTGTCATTGGTTGAAAATGGTTAACAAAGTTAACACAATTAAACTTGGTTAATATTTGAACCATACTCTATGCATGAATTACTTATATATAATTGATGATTAACTTGACCATCGTCATACGTTATAACACAGTAATATGTTAATAAGCGTAAAAGATCGTATTTAAATCTTGTCAGTGGTGTCATTTCACCAATGGATTAGCATCTAATTTTAATTAATTATGCATTTAATTAAATTTTATCGTTAATATATTAATAATTTAATTTAATGAAATTATTTTTTATTTTTTAATTTGAAAAGTCACCATGGAAACATATTTTATTTTTAATTAAAATTTTAAATATGTTTTCATTTTTTTTAATTTGAAAAATCACTGATAGAATTTTATTTTAATTAAAAATAAATTTTATCAGTAATTTTTTTAAATGTAAATACTTTTGTTATAAACGTAAGTATTTTTTTTGATATATTTGTTTTATTTTATAGATGTATGTATTTTTTTTGTTCGAAAAATGTTTAGTGACTTAATACATTTAAAATATGAAAGTTCATTGGATTTTTTCAGACTTTTTTCATTATTTTATCACATTAATCAGTAATATAGGTCATAAGGATTTATCTAACATGTTTTAGAAAGTTAAAGAAGTTATTTAACAAGTTTTAAAAATATCTAATGCCTTATTTGTTCCACAAATTTTATCTAAAATCTTAATCGTTCTAATAACTAAAATGCATTATATTGTTTTAGGGGCTGTTTGACAATTGCTGAATGGTTTGATACAGAATGATTAAGACTTAAGAGGCTCTCATGATATAGTACAGAATGAAATATAATTGTTTGGTAATTGTATACAATGAAATTAGGGCTATTAATGGTTAAGGAAGATCCATGATTCAAAATCATTCAGAAATTTTTAAAACTATTAAAAGACAAATTTTTTTATCAAATAAGATTCACTTCTTAATGATTCAAATGTTGTCTTTTAATAAAACTATTAAAAAAATAAACAAACCCACCCTCGTGCTTCTCCCTACATCCCAAATACAAGAATCCAAACCCTACCAAACCATTCAAACTAAAAATAAAAACTATCCAGAAAAAGTTGGTTTTTTTTTTTTTGTACTTTTCCTTTTTTCTTTTTCTTTCTTTCTGTCAAATTCAAGTCCGATGATTCACGCGAATAGTCATGGTCCGTAGTCAGGTGACACCACCCTTATACAAGGTGGTTCCTCCCGAGGGCTTCAGTCTTCACACATTGAACCCACACGCCAAGTTCTATTTCGTTTTTCCCCCTTCTGAAAGTCGCTATTCATCGAAGAAAATTCCTCAAGGTAATCGTATTTCCTATTAATGAATGAATCTAATCGTATGAATTGTTAGATTTTAGTTGTGATATGTGTGGTTTCTGAGTTTTATCATCTATTTATTTGTTCGTTTCATCAGGAATTTTTGATTTCTTAATCAATGGTTGGAAAGGATTCGGATTATCGTATATTTGTGGGAGGGCTCTCATGGGACATCACCGAACGTCAGCTTGAAAGCGCCTTTAGTCGTTTCGGCAAAGTTATCGACTCTCAGGTTCCTTATTCTCCTCCTGTCATTTATGCCCTAGTAATTCTGATTACTTGATATTATTCGTCTAGTCTATTTGAGGAATGGATCTAACTTTTTTAGCTTTTGTATTTTTCACGAATTTTAGTAGTTTTGTTGTATTTGTCGTCACCAAGTATGATTGGCGATTTATTGAACCAAAAATCACAATTTCAGTCGCTAAGTTATAGCTATCCAATATGAAATTGTTGTTTCTGGAAATCCATTCGTTTCAAAGCTTCATACAGTCTGTTAAGTAGGGTTTGGATTCTTGTATTTGGGATTTAGGGCCAGTTGGGTTTGAGGGATTCGGATTTCGTGGGAGTATTTGGAATCTTTGGTGTGTTTCCTATGAAATCCCATAAAATACCAACTACCCTTAGGTTCGGTTTGGTTTGGAGGATTGGATTGTATTTGGAGGGATTTGGAATTGAATTCCATTCCAATCCCGGTTTAAAGGATTTCCTGGATTTGAAATCCCACAAACAGGGGATTTTGAAATCCCAGGGGGTTGGTATTTCACGCGATTTCATAGGATTTTTATGTAATAATGTTTTAAAATATATCAAAAACATTTGTTTTGGAATAATCAATTAATAAAAAGGTAACCTAATTATTTATGATTTGTTTTTATAAACAATGGAATACAATTCCATTCCAAATTCTACAAACCAAATGCACCGAAGATTTTAAATGCTTCCAAATCCAAATCACTCCAATTTCAAATCCCTCAAAACCATTTCATCAAACCAAACGCCCCCTTAGAGGGGATTTCTAAATCCCATGTTTGCGGGATTTCAATTCCAAACTTTTCTTTAAACCAAACGCAGGATTGGAATGGCATCCAATTCCAAATCCACCAAATCCCACAAGGCCTACATCTTTTAAAGTATGAGAGCCAATGGATACATTATTTTGCTTTCATGCTTTTATCTCCACGGATGTAAATGAAAGCACTGATAATTCAGTCTAGCTTACTTCAGTTAGATCAGGTCTTACCTTGCCTCATTCCTCATATATTTAGGAACTTACTCGGCATTCAGAAAATATGTGCGACACTAAGAGCTATTTCTATTCCCTACGACTATGCAAATCATACATTTTATATGATGAGTTGAGCATATTTATGCTACTGGGGTTGGTAGCTTCTTGTTTTCAGCATTAAACATTAATATTTATTTTTTAATATTTTATATGGTTTTGTTTTCTTCTTTCTCACTCTCTGTTGTGTTGTTTCTTGGTTTGAATGCTGATTGTGGCTTTTGATTGCCTAAGATGGATTTGCTTACAAGGAAGTGTGGTTCCGTTCGTTCTGAAATTAAAGATGGCAAGGATCTACTTACATATGTTTATAAACTGTAGTGCAGCCTTTTTGAAGGAAGATTGAATCAGGTGTCGATTTAAGTGTATTTGGCATCTGTTTTGAGGAAGATATGTGGCCTGAGGTCCACTGATGGAGATCTGACAGAAAATTTGGGGTCTTGGCTTATACCTTAAGCTGTGGAAATGCACAGCAATTCAATCGATTTGGCAAACGTCAAGAAGATGCCTTTGAAACTGTTGAATACGGATAATGTTTTTTCATTGTTGTGCACACAGAAGGGCCAAGGGTCCAAGTTGAAATACTATACTAGATCCGAGAAGTTTTGAGCATTCCCGTCTTATTTATCCTTCACATCTGAACTTCTAGTTTTTTTTTTGTCTCTGCTGTAAAACAAAGCAGAGATCATTCTTTAACTTGGAAATTCTATGATTAGTCCAGGCTAGGTGGCAAAAGAGGGAGCAAACTGTAATCAACTTCTAAATTATTTTAGGTAATTTTTGAAAATTATCAAAGGCATCTCCTTGAAGTTTGCTATATCGTTATGGATTGCTGTTCAACCAGACATTTATCACAATTCAAGTGGAAGTGAATTTGGAAGGGAATGATGCCTGGTTGTTCAGCTTGCTAAGTAACACGTTTTATCTACTACTGTAATTTATTCCAGAACCAACTTTTTGGTCCAAGTTTCAGGGAAGCTGCAGCTAAGTGACAAATAGGGATTTGAAAAGCTTCGTGTGGAGTTAATTATCTTGATTTGATGGGAGTGGAAATCCTATTTCGATCTGTAGTTTCTATGGGATCAATTTGGGGTGTGCCAATTACTGAAGTTTAGTAGTACTTGCCATCAATGAGGGAGATTTTTATTCGAGCTGCTTAAAACTTCACCACCCAGACTATCCCTAGGGTTTGTTAAGACTTAAGATTAAGTTGCTTTTCCTTGGTTCTGGCAGGAAGATTAACAAGGGCTTGTTCGACTATTGTTTTCAGCAATGGCAGTTGGGGGCATCTGTATTGAGTGATTCCATTTTCTTATGCCTACAATCATTAGATTAAGATGCTGAGTGTTGTATCCAAGTTGCTGTTTCCATCATGGATGGTTCTATGGAAGAAGGCTTGGTAGCTGTTAACTATATGGTGAAGTTTTTGTGCATGTCATATTAAGCATTCTTGTCTGCCGGATTTCTGTTCTTTATGCGATTTTGGTGTATCGTAATGCTTACATAGAAGTATAAAAAATTTACTAGCTAGCATCATCCTTAAATTGGGTGATCTTGCTTCCACTACCGTTGCCTGTTTGTGGAACAAGGACAATGATAGTTTTGCCTAGTGTTTTAGGATAGCTGTAGTGATATATTCTGTTATACTCCTCAAAGTGAGTACTTGGGTTTAGTGCTTCATGATTGGAGTTCAACTGATGATGAAGACAGGACCGGTTGGGAGATCTGGAGTTGAAGGTTCAAAAATATAGAGAAAGGTTGGGTGTAATTTAGACTGCAAACGAAATGGTGCCAGTTATCTTTCTATCAGTACTTTCAAATATGGGTCATATTGTCTCAACAGGGAAGCCTTCTTGTCAAGATTTCTTGTTGAGATGGTTCTATGCTATCTTTTTTCTGACCAACATAAGGTTTCTTAGCTATCGAGCATCTTTGCTTTCCACAGTGTGCCCTTTTTGTGTCATGTGAGATTTGGTGGTTGATGATCAACGCCGTGCTTGGCCAATGAGTAATAATTGCTGATATTGATTAAGTGTCATCAGTCACTAGCAGATGGCTAGGAAGATATCACTATGTTATAAATTGCAGCTAATGTGTTCAAGGAACTAAGCTAACATCTGAGAGAGTTTACATCAGTCTTCTTGCAAGTGCCCTCAAATTCATGTCAGTCTGTTTGCCTCTTCTTCTCTGGTGGATTAGTGCTGTCTTGCTTCTCCAACAAGTTAGGCTGCGTATTTTAAATGTCAATATCAGTGGGATGATGTGAAGTTATGATAAAAGTTTTAACTTTTGGAAGTGTACGGTCAACTGAAACTCTCACTAAAGTGGTCCTAGCTGGATGTTCTTCGGACACACTCTCTTAAGATAATTTTTTTAAAAGATAAAGCGTTCTAGTAACAGGAAAAACAAACATTACTCGGAATGGGGAAAAGAATAAAGTACAGAGATCGATACAGAACTCCATGAGCTTTTCTAGAACCCAACAGATTAAGTTCTTTTTCTGCAAATTTGATTCAGAGGTAAATATGTTGCGCCAAATAAATTTGCTGTTATGATTCTTTCTTCAAAGTGAGTAAATTCCTATTTTGTTCTTTAAGAGATGTTGTCATCATAAATTTCATAATAAATATCATTGTCGTGAAGTATTTTGGCTTTGTGCTCGTAGTTAGTTGTTATGCTTTGGTAAATAGACATTTCCATTTGCCTAGCATGTACAAGATTTCTATGTTTCTTTTTGGTGATGGAGGGTTTGTGTGCATTTGGCAGTTTGTTGATGTGTTATTTGACTTGAGATAAGTACCATGAGGTTGTTATTACCATGTCTATGTTTCGGTGCTCTACCATTTATGATGTGTTTTTTAAACTGTTCCACTAGATGGCCGTCAGGAGAATAATGGTGTTTATGCTGACCATCTCTTGATAGTTGATATTTTATTTGCATGCTGCTGCATCTTTACCATTCCATTGTAGCATAGTTGATATTTTATTTGCATGCTGCATCTTTATATGAGATGGTAATTACAATATTTGAACTTAAGATTAAAACTTGAGTTGATGGTTACTTCCTCTGGCCCAAATAAGTGTCCAGATTTCTATTTTAGTTTGTCCCATAATATGTGTCTACTTACATAAGTAAGTGCTTACTTTCTAGTTCCACCATTAATTATGAGACGGTGTCATTCATTAATTCCTCTCTTATTAAGGGTAAAGTTGTCATTTAGTTGTTTAAAAATTGTAGTAATTACACATTCTTAAAACCGTGTGCCTTTTCCATTGTGGACAAGTTATTTTGGGATGAAGAAATAAAATATTTTGACTTCGAAAAGGTAAAGACGATAGAACTACTTTATTGCCACTAATATGTTTTTGCTCTGTTTGCTAAAGAGAGCATGTATTAAGACATGGTTTTGATCATCCTTGCAACATGCATTAGAAAACCAATCAAACGATTGAGAGAAGTTAAAAGACTTCTTTGCAGTTACTCAAAATGCTGGTTCACAGCCTTTCAAGAAAGATATTGTGTACATTGCTTTTCTTAAAATTAATTTTCATTTAACAGAATACTTGGGAAAACCGCTGCTTGTATCATACGCTCCATTTGATAGATAATTTACTGTCATTGTTTGTTAATGATGAATATTTAATCAGTCTTCCCTCCATCCTTGTCAACTTTTTTATTATTTATGCTATAATTCAAACTTCTGTAATTTGGCGCAAGATCCTTATTAAGAAATTTTGCTTTTATACTATTTTCATGGCTGTATGTTCTTAACTGTGACTTTCATGTAGATTATGATTGAAAGAGATACTGGTCGTCCACGAGGATTTGGGTTTCTGACATTTTCAGACCGCCGAGGTATGGAAGATGCAATCAGGGAAATGCATGGCAGCGAGATTGGTGAGCGAGTTATCTCAGTGAACAAGGCCCAACCTAGAATGGGCAGCGATGATCCAGACCATGGCTATGGTGGAAACTACCCATCACGTGGTAGAGGCAGCTATGGTGGAGCAGATAGGTCTCTAGGGCAGGACGAGTGCTTCAAGTGTGGTCGTCCAGGGCACTGGGCTCGTGATTGCCCTTCAGCAGGTGGTGGTCGAGGTGGCAGCGAGTTCTCCTCACGCTCCAGGTTTAGTGGGGCTGGCGGCAGTGGAAATTACTATGGAGAGCGTGATCGTGATCGTTTCATGAATGATAGATATGATGGAGGAAGTTTTGGAGATAGAGATCGATATGACAGCAGAGAAAGCAAATACGGAAGTCACAGCCGCTATGCTAATGAAAGGTATATATCAAAGTTTTAATACATGATGCAATTCTTCACTTCAGACATCATTTAAGCAACTTTTCTACCCACCAAAATAACCATTACTGTTCTGGACCAACCGCTATCCATGTTTCTACGACTCTCAGTCTTCAGTAGCTATCAACCAATGAATACTCTTCTTATTCCCACTAAGATGCTATGCTGAAGTGGTGAACACCATACATTTGGGTCATTTATAGGAGATGAAAGCTCATATCCGAACCATACATGTTTTTGAGAACATGATATCCAAATATTTGATGTTATTATTCATGATGAATAACCCTGAATGATCGTGAATATTATTTACATTGAATATCATGCATTTTCATTATTCATGATATCATGTATTTTCCACATGAATATCATACATTTTATCAGTGTTCTAAAAGGTTCACCGTGGCGCTTTGCGGCTCAATGCTCGTCTGTAATGCCACATTAAGCTTGTGGAACGCCATGGCCCTATCCCTATGTGCGATTTTGTAGGACGTTATTTGATTTGTTTAACTTTTTTAATGTCATATTTTTTGTTTTTGTATGTAACCTAATTGCCTCACGCCAACTTTAGAACCTTGATTTTTACCATGCTCATTATGAATAATTTTCATCATGAAGATCTATCACGACATTCATCATGAATAAAACATTAATAGTTGGTTCTCCATGTTCTCAAAAATATTTATGGTTCTCATTTGGACTTGGCCCTTGTAGGATAATATTACATAATTATCTTTATGGTATGAGCTGGCATTTTGGTTCAGATAACAGAACAAGTGAATGGAAAGATACAAGTAAATCTAAAACATGGTGGTTGTTAAATTTGTTTGAAATGCATACATGTAGGTTTCCACCTACTGGAGATCGGTTTGGAGTTGACAGGTACGGGGCTACAGATCGCTACCTACAAAATGGGTATGGGCGGGAGAGAGATTATGATCGGGATGTTGGGCGTGAGAGGTATGGAGGTGGAGGTCCTGCACGTTATGAAGGAAGAAGCTACAGGGATAGAGCAGGTCCTTATGACCGCCCTAGAAGGGGTGGAGGTCGTCCATCTGCCATCGACTATTGAAAAGCTTCTTTTCTGGTAAATTAGCAAATTGACTCTGTTAGTTAGATGTTTGTATATCTGCATGGTATTTTGATCTTAACTGGATGTTTGTAGCTGGAATCTTTCTATTAAACAAAGTATAGGTTAAAATATTGGATCGGGCTTGGTTGCAGCTGTGACTTATAGGGTTTATGGGTATAAAAACATGTAGAGTTAGGGCCGTCATGACGATTAGAATAATTTTGATCTATTTGTTGCTTGAGTCTCGAAAGAGATTGTCGCAAGGACCTGGACGGGGCTAGACAAGGTCCCAAGAACAACGATTTAGGTTTGGCTAAGCCCTATCTCTACTCTACTAGTAGACTTTTAAATGCTTAGGTATACAAAATGAATCAACATGGTTCAAGTTTGGGACTAAAAAACCCAGAAACCTGTCTAGGCTAGGGCCGGGTTTGGAGTCACTTTTGACCTTGTAAAATATGTATAGATGCTCCCTTCTACTGGGCTTAAGGGACTTGTTTGGTTATAACTGTCTAGGACTGGTTTTGTAATGAAATCATTTTTGGGTCGACCCTACAAGGACTGGTTACAGGAGGAACTAAGGGTCCGTTTATCAAACGAATGCAAGAATCGAGGGTCTTACCCGGTAAGTGAGGACGCTTACCGGGATAAATTGTTGCATACGATGTGTTTTAGTGGATAAAATCTTACTTGGTATGTAAAGCAATAGTATTGAATTTTGCACGTAAGTGATTACCGGGGTAAGTGCTTAGGTAAACGACCCCTAAGACTTTTTACTTGTTTAGTTTTATGTTAATAGATAAATAAAATAATATATATATTATGTAAATGCATGTATACTCTATTTGGTTCAGGTCGAGTACTTATAGTTTAAACCCAAAATAGATCATGAACACCCGATTTTTTTCAGTTTTTGGTGTTTTCGACATTGGATCAAACGGTTCGATATGGTTCTTCAGTTTTTTGAACATGGTCGAGATATTACTTGTACAAAAAATACCCTCCGCAAAATCCAAGTTTGATTTTGTTGATTTATTATAATATGCTAATTTTAACGACCTCTTAATCAGGCTTATATTTAGTTGATTTTGTGGTTTTATTTGATGGGTGATTGTTGTGTCTATTTTAAAAGTCGTAATCAGATATCTACAAAGTATGGACTCGTAAAATTCAAATGGATTGAAGATTTATTTATGTCTACCTCCACACACCACATGTAGTGGACTAGTGGATATGCTGCTTTGTTTGAATCTGCTTTCAACATTTCTATCTGTTTCTGGATTTATATCAGCTAAAATTATAAGAACGGATTTGAACTCTTGATCACTTTTAATACCAGAACAACTCATGAATTGAGTTTTAGAAGGGAGTTGATATAGTACATCTCATTAATGTTGATTTAGTAGTTCTTTTCAATTAAGATTGATCTCAAGATGAAAATCTCTTCTTACCCTTCTTACTGTGACTCTTTATTTTCGTTAGAACCCAAATTATACACAGATATACATACATATATACGCACATAGGTGGGAGTTCAAACGAAAACCTTTATGATTTACGAGAACACTTGTGGACCTCAAACCTTTTTAACCAATAATTTAAGTTATATTAAGTAAAAACAAATCATTAAGGGTAGTAACGTAATTAGGTATTTTTTTTATAATTTTATCTTATTTTTAATTAATTAGAATTATCTCATCATTTTAGCTTGGGATCGATCATGTTGAGTAGAACGTCTGCCGTTTTCTTTCCATATTTTCCTCCCCATCGTATATGAAGTTTTGAAATATCTTGATATAACAGTGTGATAATCGTGAACCTAATCGATTCAACCACCAAATTTTCCATCACATTCATTTTGTATCCATTGAGTTTGAGTTGTATTGATTGTACAAATGTAAATGGTTGCATAACAACTCACCTCTATATACATATACATACATACATATATATATATATATATATATATATATATATACACACATATACATATATTGAGACAGGAGATCCAATACCTGAACTAGGAGTTACTTTGGTTTTATAAATTCTTCTAATTTTTTTGTATACTAAATTATTTGGTCAACCGGCTGTAGAAACTTTTACTCAAGGAGGTGCTCTTGGCCTAGTGAATAAAAAATAATGCCTAAAATACAAGGACTAATCCATTATTTCTTTTCATTTTACAATTTTCTTAAGATTTTCTTTAATCAATTTACCCGGTAAACTACTAGGGGGCTCATGTAGCCCATGTTGCATTAGTCTATATACGTATATGTATATACATATGTATGTATTTATATATACATATACATATATAGGAGGATCAAACAAGAACGATACATATTTAAAATAACACGAAAACGGATGAATCACATGTGATTTTACATTAACATACATACAAAATCACATGTGATTCAGGCGACTTTGCCAGCGACTTGTGCGGCGACTTGAAGAAGTAACCACAAGTCGCCTGAACACTTTTTTCTGACCATTAGTGTAAAATCACATGTGACTTTGCACGTGATTTATCCGTTTTCATGTTCTTTTAAATAGATATCATTCTCGTTGGTCCTGCCCCTCCCTCTATATATATATACACACATATATGTATCATATTGTGTGAATGAGATATTCTTATAAGGTCATATGTATTTTCATATCGTATTTTTAAGTGGATATACCGAGTTTATTTTAATTGGTTTGTATAAAGTCACATGTATACCTGCACACATCTGTAGCATCTATAAACAAATACAAATACACGGATGTTTATGTAACTGTATTTGAGCAAAAAGTTGATTATCGACAATCCAAACCGATTTCACATGGAACTCACTTTCAAGAACATCAATTTGAGGAGACATTTTATGTCTCACTCAACGGCTGAGTCTAATAGGGAATGAGAATCGAATCTAAGACATATCTTATATTTTGATAAAGTCGCCTATTTTTTCAAACGAAAAAATATCGATTGTAATTTAAAATCGGGTGTATGTTAATGCAACTGACGTCATTTGGGACGAAAGGTTTCATAGCTCAGAATAGCGGGACCAAAACCCGTTCCCTTACCACACACTTTATACATAGTAATAGGACCACACAAATTGTTTGGCTTGAATATTCGTTACAATAATTCTGTAAATTAAAAAAATGCTACAAAAACTGATTTGAATTATGATTCTATATGTAATTCTTTTACTCAGAGATACGTAAATACGGTATAAAAATAACGTGATATTACAAAGATTTCCATCAAAAATGTAACTTAGCAAACGTGCAATATTTGATCTCGTATATACTTACACGAAACTACATGTAAGTTATTTATGAAAAATCTAAAAAACATTTTTCGAACTGTTTATTAGAAAAAATAAATTGCATTAAACTGAAAACAAAACTTTGTTCTGGTTTCTATTTTGTGAAAATTAATCAGGGGTTTAATCGAATCACTTGCTTTAAAGGGTGAGCATGACAAGAGACAAGAACCAAGGTACTTACCCGTTAAACAATTGGGAAGACTTTTACCTGGTAAGAATTAAGTCAAGTTCTTACACAGTTAATGCTTATCAAGTAACAGACTGTTACAAAGAAATTATTCTAATGGTAAAAAATGTTACCCGATAAGGTTAGAGATAATGGTGATACTTGCTGGTAAGCGTTTCATAAATAACCTCTTACTTTTAAAAACTCAATTATGGAGAATGTACTGTCTTGATATGATTAGGAATGAGATTAGGGATGGTGATCTGCCCCAACCCGGTAGGAAAACCCGGTTCACCTGACCCGGACGGGATTCCCCGCTAAAAAGGGTAGACTCAAACCGGGGCCGGAGGATGTTACTTAAACCAAGGCCGAGATCCCCGGTAGAATCAAACTAACAAATACTATTCATGGGTTTTGACCAGAGACATGATGTTAATCCCAGTACCCACCGGGGATTACAAAACCTGCCTCATCCCCACCCTGTTGTCATGCCTAAATGAGATTAGTAGAACATATACAACTTTGTAAATAAAAAAGGAGCAAATCAATAATTTATTGTTTGAAATATCTTGTCATAAACATCAAAATAAAGTATTTAAAAATTATTAAAATAAATATTAAAACAAAATACGTTTCATTTTAATTTCGTGTATTTAGAAATGAGACATTAAAATGTGAGTCGATTGGTTATGTTTGATACGTTTTTTCCTTAAAGGGTTTCAAAAATTCCTTTTTGTGGAAAAAATAATCCAATTATTGGGGTAAAACTTTGACTTTTAATTCTAGTTGACTTTATACGCACACCGACGCTAGTTATCGTTTTGAATTTTTATTATTTCGAATTTTGATGAAGTTTGTATAATAACGTTACTCTTTTTCATACAAAAACTACTACTTTGGTCCTTATGGTTTGTTAAAAATGACATTTTTCGTCCCTACAGATGATCAGTATGTTTTGTAAAAACGTTTGCATTTGGTCTCTCTCTTCAACATCGTTACACGAGGGACATTTTTGTCCTTTTATTGGTTTTTTTTTGTCTTTTACCCAATTAAAAACCACATGAATCAAAATCATAAAATCGATTTTGATTGGATAAATGATAGAAAAACTGATAATATGACAAAACTGCTATTATTTGACTGAATTTTTTAATGGTCGTTAAACTGAATTTTTGATTAACCTGAATATCCAACTTGTTATGCGAGCTGACTAATCCCAGGGCGACCATCTGCTTTGCAGATAGCCTGGAGTCACCGCATTTGAACCTTCGTTGCCACAAGGGGATTTTTATTTCTTTTTGGATTTAAACTTGAGACATCTTGGTACTTTTGAACTTTGGAACCAAGCTCAAACCAATCAGACACCACCCTTGTGGTTGTCATTTTGTAATTTTGAAACTATAAAGACGAAAAATTGTTATTTTTTATAAACCATAGGGACCGAATTTGTAGTTTGCTCCATTTTTTATAATTGTATTTTATTCCGTTTTTCATACGTTTCTATAATAGATTTTTCGATTTAATTAAGTCTAAAACGACAGTTGATTATATTTTTTTAATCTTACATAAACCATCTTGAAACCCTTTTTATAAAATATCCACAAAAACAATATGAACGTATCCTTATCATCTTATGGATATTATTT